CCCAATTTACAAAATGTATGGAAAAATCAAAAACTCGTACCATAATGAATTATTTGTAAGCGTAGAAGATTCCTGTTAAGAAAAGGATAGGGATTTTTGTAAGAATTCCTTCCCAACGAAAAGTATGTCACGACTTCTCTGTCAGCTTGAAGCAATGAGGACTTCTGGCCGGCGAAGTATTTTTCACACCAAACGTAAGATGATGATTGGCTGAAACTCTTAGTGTATTGACGTCAATCATAGTAACAAATGAAGCAGATGTCAAGATAAGATTATMAGATTCAGTTCCGGCGCACCCACAAAAATTATTAATGAGTGATCTGGAGACGCGATTTCCATATTTTACATTTACGACTACTTTTCGGTTCATTGAGATCTCCTTTTTACCAATGCACGATTTGTAGACAAGCAGTCGTTTTTAACATACAGTATTTAATTAAATGAATTGACACAAGTATATTTTCAAACTCCTTTCAAAATGAGGACAAAAGGAAACTTTTTTCAAATTGAAGACAAAAGGCTTTACACAAACCACRCAATTARCACCCCGTAAAATTTATTTTCATATTGTTTGTATGGATTATGCATGGGTTTATCAGTAAATATTAACGCACACGAGCCCAGCAAAGAAAAACTAAATAAATAATGTATGAAGAAAATGGAACAATAATTCCAAGTACAAAATATAACAATATTGGGTTATCTTTTATCTCCCAGGTACCATAATGTAAGAATGATCTTCAATTTGTTAATGAGTATACAACCACCTTATCCATCTACCCCACCCTCTGCTATTATTTTTCGCTTTCAATATTATTTATACAACTTTTCAGTAAAATCAAGACGTTTGATTGGTTGGCTTGCGTGTGTTATCAAAGTATAGATACACGCATTACGTCAAAACTAATTGTTTGTTGTATAAAACAGATAGATATCATTTTTCCGTGCGTGTGTACTCTAATAGATACACAGATGACGTCAAAATGTAGTGAGAACAACAGTCACGCACTCGACTGCGTCTCGTGCGTACTTTTTTGTTCTCACTACATTTTGACGTCATCCCCACCCTCTGCTATTATTTTTCGCTTTCAATATTATTTATACAACTTTTCAGTAAAATCAAGACGTTTGATTGGTTGGCTTGCGTGTGTTATCAAAGTATAGATACACGCATTACGTCAAAACTAATTGTTTGTTGTATAAAACAGATAGATATCATTTTTCCGTGCGTGTGTACTCTAATAGATACACAGATGACGTCAAAATGTAGTGAGAACAACAGTCACGCACTCGACTGCGTCTCGTGCGTACTTTTTTGTTCTCACTACATTTTGACGTCATCTGTGTATCTATTAGAGTACACACGCACGGAAAAATGATATCTATTTGTTAAATAGACCATTATAGACTAGCAATTTTTTTCAAAAGTAAGTGCTGCGATGCTTGAGAAAGACAATTGTGTATGAAAAGTTTTTATCACTGGTTTGTACATCTTTATTAAGAAGAGCGCTGTGGAATTGTGCAGAGTCCTCAGCGAAGATGAAAGCCCGATTTTAAAAGTTTTTATTGATATTAAAGAAATAAAAACATTTTCTTTCCTAAAATACATAGTATAAATTTGTTTATTTGATATTATTATAATATAAAACTTGATAGTTTCCTTTTAGTTAGTCATTTGTTTATCTGATGTTATGCTAATATAGTACTTGATTCTAAGACTTGATTCTATAAATCAAAATTGATACATCTTATCAATGATAATTTGCTTTAACTGAAACTCAGAAATATGGACATCTCATCAAACTCCAAAATATCGACTTTGAAATGAAGATTATCGTGCGACACAGGGATCCCATTTTTGTTTGAAATAGTGTGCTGCTCGCTCGCTCGCTCGCAGCAATAACTTTCCATAAATACACTGCTTTCTAGAAATCAAAACGACAGACATGCAAGCCAAAATATTTATTGTCAAAACTTTCACTTAACAAGTTAGTAATCAAACAGGACTTTTAGTACTCTTGTACACAATACAAAGAAAATGTCTAGTACTCTTCTCCTTCTTCTTCTCCCTCTTCCTCGACACTGTCAACACCAACTTCTTCATAATCTTTCTCAAGAGCAGCCAAATCCTCACGGGCCTCAGAGAACTCTCCTTCCTCCATACCCTCTCCAACATACCAGTGCACAAAAGCACGCTTGGCATACATCAAGTCAAACTTGTGATCAAGACGAGCCCAGGCCTCTGCAATGGCTGTGGTGTTGCTCAACATACAGACAGCACGCTGTACCTTGGCCAAGTCACCTCCAGGAACAACTGTANGAAAATAAGGAATCCTTGGAGGCCAGTACATTGGTCAGCCTTTGTGGAATGAATAAAAACTTAGATTAGCCTCTTTTCAAATTAAGTGATTAAAAAAAGGAAAGTTGTAAAAACAAGAAAAAAAGATTAGCTTATCACACATGACTATAACATTGAAACAATTCAACTTACCAGTTTCCTAATTCTGTCAAGAACAATATCAATGAGTTCCTTGCCAACAGTGTAATGACCTCGGGCATARTTRTTGGCTGCATCTTCTTTGCCRGTGATCAGCTGCTCTGGATGGAAGAGCTGTCGGTAGGTGCCAGTCCTTACCTCATCTGWACATARAGAAAATATTTGATTATTTCACCAAATCATAAATAAAGCTTTTAATCAAAGAGTTAAAAAGGAAGTCATCTATTTAAAAGTCAAAATTCTATCAATCACGGGGAAAAAAATGGATAACTAAGTTATGTTAAAACACCTCTTAGTAAAAGTAGTCTATGTTTTCAGCGATTTTCCTGTAATATCATTTTGATAGGCTCTTATGTTCCCAGTTTTTTAATGTAAAATAAAATTGTAGTATAAAAACGAGCGACARTGTTTCTCTAAAGTTCTACTAATCAAAATAAAATTAACAGCGTTTAATTCACTAAATGTTGGTGTTTGTTAATGTGTTGTTGTTGTTCACATGGAGACACAAATGTGTAAATCATCCCACGCTCCACAGGACGGCCATTGTTAGTTACGTCATGCGCATTGTGTTACGAGAAAATGCCGCCTGATTTCGCAATGGGATGGTGTTGCAATGTAACTTAACGACAAAAGCATCAACAAGTCATTTTTTTTATTAAAAGTATTTAATTTCCCTCTCACCGACTACAGTTGGCTCCAAGTCGACAAATACAGCTCTAGGTACATGTTTTCCTGCACCAGTTTCACTGAAAAATGTGTTAAATGAGTCATCGCCACCACCTATCGTCTTGTCACTGGGCATTTGACCATCAGGCTGAATTCCGTGTTCAAGGCAGTACAACTCCCAACAGGCATTACCAATCTGGACACCAGCTTGCCCAACATGTACTGAGATACATTCACGCTATAAATGTTTGAAAAAAGATTGATAAATCATTTTTATTGCTGACTTTACCAAAATGGCGCCATTCGAAGCTCAGCAGTTGGTATGAAACGTTGCCCATCCTATCAAAACTGTTCTAGAAAAACACATCAATTAAACATATAAAACTCACCATGATGACTTCTTAACTTTTCAAATGATTTTTATCAAGAAGTAAGGGTTTTTTCCAAGTCAATTTGCTTCCTCTAAAAGTGTACGTAACGGCACTTTAGATTTCGAAGGAATGGTGGCATACAACATGTGACCTGCCAATATATACCGAAATTTATCTGAAATGTGATTGGACGATTTCTGTTGCGTCACAATAGGAGTATTTCGTTGCTACAAAATGGTGGAAATACAAACTGTTGTCACGCAGCGACAAGGAATTTAGGTGCGGCTTTAATCCAACCAATAAGAAGTTCGAGATAAAAATAATCCTCTGGGAGGGAACAGTGGTTGTAAAATCGCCCCTTTCGACTCNAGTGTGAGTTCGATTTTTATCGATTTTTGTTTAGATTTTATCGATTTTTATCTATAGTGCGTTTGTTATTGAGAGTGAAGGAAATCAATTTTAATTTTGATCAAGTAATAAGTACAATTATAGAATCTTTATTTCAAACAATGAATGATAATTATTTCGACATTTTCTATGGTAGTACAGCATAGCTCTAAAATCAGAAAGAGAGTTTTAGATTCGCGTTTACTGCAACCTCCACAGCTACGTCAAATTTATATCTTTTATGATTTGACTAAAATTGAAAACTTACGTAAAAAGTGATCTATTTTATATACATCGCGAAAGAACGGAGCGTTACAGAAAAACAGAAAAACAGAAAAACAGAAAAACAGTGATTACGTGATCAGTTTTGACGTTTGGCGTTTGCCACAAACGCGTATCTATAACTCTCTAATATGTAAGTCAGCGGTGTTTCAATTGATTACTTTCAAATTCTATCAAATGAAATGAGGTTGGACTGTCCTCAATATATTCTTATTCATAGTGTGTATAAAAAAACTGTTGAATGACCGTTTTATAATTTCGGCTACCAAAACCTTTTTTAACTTGACCACTGTCAATCGATAAAAATCGATATTTTTTTTGTGTGTGAGTTCGATTTTTATCGATTTTTAGATACAATTGATATCAATCAGATCTCTTCGCTTTGATTTTTATCGATTTATCGATTGGGGTAAATTTAATCGATTTTTATCGATTGACTACTCCGGGCATTCGAACAGCTCAGCAGTTGGTATGAAGCGTTGCCCATCCTATCAAAACTGTTCTAGAAAAAACACATCAATTCAACATATAAAACTCACCATGATGACTTCTTAACTTTTCAAATGATTTTTATCAAGAAGTAAGGGTTTTGTCCAAGTCAATTTGCTTCCCCTAAAAGCGTACGTAACGTCACTTTAGGTTTCGAAGGAATGGTGGCTTATAACATGTGACCTGACAATATATCCCGAAATTTTCTGAAATGTGATTGGTCGATTTCTGGTGCGTCACAATATAGCGGATTTCGTATGACTGTGCAAAAAAGCACGGTACGTTCGTCCTGTGTCCGTACAGTGCCGTAGCCGTGATGCATTGGAAAATCTTTACTTTTATTTGAAATCCTAGAAGGCGAGGTTCCGTGAGTCCGTGTTGTGATCCGTGCTTTTGCACAGTCAAACGAAATTCGCTCTAGATGCTTACGACGTAAGCCGGAAGTGAATTAAAAACAATACAAAACAAAAGAATGGAAACGAGGCCTAAGGGCCCTGAAGGAGTTTAGATGGCAAATATCTAGAGATTCCATTCACCTAGATTCAAGAAAAATTCCTTGTCTGTAGGAAAAGTACATTTTCTTGCTTCTTGTAAAATTCAAAAAGAATATTTTTCAATTCCTAAGTTACTTCCGGTTTATGTCGTAAACGTGGACAAAATGGTGGAAATACAAACTCTGTTGTCACGCAGCGACAAGGAATTTAGGTGCGGCTTTAATCCAACCAATAAGAAGTTCGAGATAAAAATAATCCTCTGGGAGGGAACAGTGGTTGTAAAATCGCCCCTTTCGACTCGTATGAGGGACCTGAAACTGTGGTAATAATCCTTATTTTGACGTCGACGTCCAGATTTATCTTACAAAAATGTATGAAGAAAAATGCTGAAATTTCGGCCCCACTCAGACCAAAAACAAGTGATGACGTCACAAAAACCTGTAATATAGTCTGAAACGCAATGCATTGTGGGGTACTACTGTTCCCTCCTCTGGGGCCCACTTGATCGTATCAAGATTTCTGTTCTCCGCGACAACGGGATCATGTAATGCAAAAGTTAACAAGCCTTGTTCCAGTTTTGTCGATTTTTTTCAAAAAGCAAATGTTACATGCAAAGACGACAAGTATTAAATTGCTAAACCTAAACATAGGCTACCCAACTATTGCTTGAGAGAAAGAAAAGAATGAATGCGCACGCTTTTATATTATGTTATCGAATCGGCGTGCGCTGTGGGTTACCTGTGGTATTACGTCACTATCGCGCGCCTCGCGGGATACAAACTAGTCTGTGACAAGGTATGAAACACTGGTCACGTGA